GGGGATGTTCTCCTGGGGCCTCGCATCTCAGTCCCCTGCCTGGACCATAGAACTCACTTCAAGGCACTTTGTTTCTCTACTTCTTTGAGGAGAAGCAACCAAGCAAGGCTGGGAGAGGCAGGCCTGGTGTGCAGGGCAGTGTTTGAGCCCTGCTCTGGCTTCCAGCCGTTGCCTGCTGAACTCTCTTTGAAGCCTCAGCTTCCCAGGGCTTGGGGCCACTGCAAGGAGAGCCTGAGTGGGTGTGGGCTCTGGGAGGCGCCTAGTGAGGTGGCTGGGAGAAGGGGCCCAGCAAGCAAGGTCGGGATGGGAAATGGACCTTTGGCCTGCACACAGGCGTCTGGAGAAGAACAGAATGCAGCTCTTCAGGTAAGAAGACACTACTTTCCACTCACATCTACCCCCAGACACTGTCAGGCCTACTGCTAGAGCCCCATGCAGAAGCCCCTCAGAGTGTGCCTGGATGCTATTGGCTCCCCCATCCATGCGTTCAGGAATCCAGTAATGTTCTCAGCAGCTGAGACTCTGAGACCATTCCATCCATTCATCCACTCACTCATTTTTCTTCTTTCTTTTGTTCTGAGTCTCAGAGAGACTCACTGGACCCACAATACTTGACTAAAGGGGTCCTGTCTTGTCTTGAGGCAGAGGGCTGCTCAAGACGACCCAGAGAATGCTCCAGCCCAGGCTACATAGGTCTGAGGTATTCTCCCCAAAATAGTCCTGGCTTGCCTTGCCTGGGCCCTCCTGCCCCCAGGAGCCTGCCAGGAAGTTATGTCTGGTCATCTGATCTATAATAGGAACCAGCTCCATCCCTCCCCTGGGGCTGGGGCCAAGGTGGTCAGACTGTGGGGGCCTTAGAAAAATAAACTTGATCCAGCCAAGCCCTGGCAGTTCTACCCTGCCCTGCCCATCACTAAACAGGCCAGCTTCATGCCGTGGCCCAACTGGCGTGGGCACAGCTGTCTTCGGTTGGAAAACTGCTCCTGGAATAACTCCCTCCAAGGTGAACGCCCAGGGCAGGGTCTGTGCCCTCTCACCAGCAACCTGTCCAGCCAGGAGGAGGCCAGGCTTGTCCTCAGAGAGGCTGAGGAGAAGGCTGCCACATACTTTGCTGTGCGAGGTGGCTCTGGCTTTGCTTTCAGAGGGAAAAGTAGGATGTGCTGGGAGCCCAGAGGCCGGGGGAAGAGAAGTGGGCTCTAGGAAGCTGTAGCTCTGTACCCTGCCCTCCTCCGGGAACTCTCAATCTAGTCAGAAATTCTAATCAGAAAGACCCTCCAGGAACAGGACTGGAGACATAATTTTCAAGGACAGAATGAAAATACAAGGCTCTGTTCCAAAATTGAGAATTGTAAGATGGCGACAGCAGAGTATTAAATCAAGCATAGGCCCTTCTGAGCTTGATGCACTGTGCAACTCATGAAACCAGCCCTGCTCAGGAAAGACAGCTTGAATGCTGTGCCTCCCGCCAGAGTCTCCTGGCTGAGACACAGAGGTGGATGGAAGCAGGTCTGAAGCTCAGATGTCATTCTTGGGATGTCTGAGGCCCAGCCCCCAGCCTGCTCTGTCCTCCCTATAGTTATCACCCTGTGCTGCGTCTTCAATTGCCGTGTGCCACGGACCCGGAAGGAGATCGAAGCCCGGTACCTACAGCGGAAGGCAGCCAAGATGTACACCGATAAGCTGGAGACAGTGCCACCCCTCAGTGAGCTCACAGAAATCCCTGGAGGTGAGTGGGCCTGGTGCCCAGCCCCAGTCATCACCTGATCCTTATAAGCCAGCCAGTTCCTCATTCCCACTGCCCCCAAGTTCCTCCCCTCCACCTGCAGCAGGTTAGGCAGAGACTCTGGCCCTGCCCTGGGACACCAGAGCACAGAGATTGGTCAGAGTGAGGCAGGTCTAACAAGGAGCCTGCTCTCCAGGCAGGAAAGGGTTGGAAGAAAGACGTAAAGAGCAGAGTATGGGAGGCTCTGGTGCCATCTTCTCCTGAGACCCCTGAGCCCCAAACCTTGTCCCATCCTACTGCATGGCCTCTTTCCCCTACCCCACAGAGGATAAGAAGAAGAAGAAGAAGAAGGACAGTGTGGACACAGTAGCCATCAAGGTAGAGGAAGATGAGAAGAATGAGGCCAAGAAGAAGAAAGGGGAGAAATGAGGAGGGCTTCCTGGAGGTGGCAGCTGGGACTTGTAAGCCCTCAGGCTTAAGCCTACTTGCATCTTGGACTTCAAGCTCAAACATGGACCACCGAGGTTGCAGAACATCTACTTCCTGCCCAGAGGGGAGCTAAGGTCCAAGGCCAAGTTCGCACAGCCCATTGCAGGCAGAGATAAGGCTGCACCAGGTATCCTGTTTCCCAGCCCAGACTCTGCTCCTTGCACCCAAACATGTGGCCTTGGCAGTGCTGGTCAGGGAACACTGTCCCTCTGCAAATGTAGGGTGTCCTCACACTGCTCGCCCCACCCAGGCATGCCTCTGTTCCACCCCTTCTGCAAGGAAAAGCCGTGGCTGGGAAGGAGTAATGGGATGTGAGTTTCACTCTCTGGAGGATGGTGGCTGACCTGGATGAGTTGAGAGGAGGCCACACCAGACTGGCCATGAGGAGAGAGAGGGTCTGCTGGGGAAAGGTGGAGCAGCAGGAGGTTCTAGGACCCAGCCAGGTCACAGCCCTGGTGGTACCAAGCCTGGCAGGGATCTGGCCCAGGGGAGTGATCAGAGGTGACCCCAGAGGAGCAGGGAGAAACCTCAATGCAACAGATACCAAGCTGAAGGCAGCAGGATCCACTTCCAGTGTCTGTGTTGTGCTGGAGCCTAGGCTGCTGGGAGGCCTCTCATGGAGTCCAGGGCTCAGTATTGGAGGCTGCAGGATGTGGCAGCAGAGGGCTGAGGCCAGCTCAGGAGCAGGAGAGAAAGCTAGGGCCTGGGGATTGTTCTTGGGCATCCAGGAAATATTTAAGAAGCCAAGGGGGCTTCAGGCTGTTCTGGGCAGCCTTTTCTATGCCCAGCTGTGGTGGGAGGTTTCTCAGTGGTCATGGCAGGGGGCAGCTTGGGGTTGACATGGCAAACAGTCTTCCACTTGCTGCATGTAACAGCACACAGTTTCCTCGTCTACCATTTTCAACTACAGGGGCTTAATAGAAGCAACACTGATCTGAAGGCAAAGACTCAAATAACACCTGGTGGCTAAATCTTGGGAAAGGGAGATGCACAGAGACTACCACCCTCCTCCCCATGGCATCAAGTGTCTGAGGCATTCAGACCAGGGCTTGGAGACCTAGGAGACATCAAGGAAAGTTTCCAAGCCAGAGGAGCCTGTTGGGTACATTCTCGCTGCCGCTGCACCCTGTAGGGATTTGGAAATAAAGTTGAGTGCCTTCTCGGACCCATACACAGACTTGATCCCTCTGGAAACTCTGTCCCTGAAGCACTGATGTGGAAGGGGATGCAGCAAACAGTGACAGGTTGCTCAGGCCAGGCGGAGGCTCCCTCCCCTGACTTGTCTTGCAGTCTGACTTAGGGTAAAATTGAGGAAGAGTAGGTGGCCAAGAGGCTGAGATTGGCTGAAGCCATCTTGACCCATGCCCACAAGCAGGGCATCAGGACTGGGAGGAAGCTATGCGCTCTACTGGGCACTGGATTGACAAGGCTGCTGTCAAATGGCCTCTGCTCTATCCTATGGCTTTCAAAAGGCCCTCAGCTGCTACTCTAAAGGTGGTTTGAATCCACCCAGTTGTGCCATGGAAGAAAGGCCTGGTGATCTCTGACTCTTTGGGTTTCCAAGGTTGTATCTTTATGGAAGTAGATTGCCCAACCTTCCTTCTGAGGAGTGGCTGGTGGGTTTGAACCACCAGCCTTCTGGTGAGCAGTCAAATGCCTTAGGCACTATGCTACCATAGCTCCTTCATAAAGATTACAATCAAGAAAACCCTGTGGAGCAGTTCTACTCTGTAGCACATGGGGTCACCTTGAGTTGGAATTGACTCAACAGCAATTGATTTGTTTTTTGTTTTGTTTTGTTTTGATGGTCTGAGTCCAGTGCTAGAAACACAGAGGAGTCAAACCTGGATCCAGATATTATTATACAAGGAGAGGGATCCAGGCTGACAGGAGGGGGAGCACAGGGTCTTGGGAACAGGGAAGGGGCAGAAATTGCAGGAAGTGCTGCTGGAATCTGAATACACTGCCACCAAGTGGGAAGAATTGGCTGACCACTGCCATCAGGGTCCAACCTATGAGCTTTGCGTATGTAGGGTTGTGGCAAAATTTATTCCACCCATACAGGCCAGAGCCCTACTGTGTGGCAAGGCAGCAGAAACCCAGGGAGTCACACAGAGAAGCAGTGGTGGAAACTGGGGGAAGTCCAAGTTGGGGCTCCATCCACTCTGGCATCTGCCTCCCCAACCTCTGACCTGGAGCCTCCACTAGTCCTTTATGGGCAGGCATGGCTACTAATGGTGAAGATGATGGTTGACCCCAATGGTCACCTGTCCAAGTCTCCAGGCAGGGGGCATGGCTGTAGGGTCAAGCTGTGATTCTCTGTGGTACTTCTGGGGCAATAACAGGGTAAGTTCTAGCCACTGGGCAGGAGGCAGGACAAAGTCAAGAAAAGCCTGACTCCTACTAGAGTATCATAGAAAACACACTCACCTATGACCCTCACCCCACCCTCAAGATCTGCCCTGGCAGCCCCAGCTTCAGTCTGGGCAGTACATTCTGGGCCCTCCATTATGAGACCCCAATGTCATCCCTTCACACCTTCCATGGGAGCCTCCTGAACCTTTGGAGGGAGGCAGATCCTGGGGGGTTCTGCACTTTTCAGCATAAACTGGCTGGACTTCCCCATCCCACTTGCCTTGGACTCACCCTTCTCCCATGAGAGCAAAGGGCCTCCAAAGAAGAGAAGCATTTAATTGAGCACCTTGTCTCTGCCCTGACTTGCAGGGCTGTGAGGACAAGGAAGGGTCTGGGTGAAGGAGGGCACTCCTGGTGACAGCACACAAGAGTGTTAGAGAGTGGCCAGGAGGCTGAGTGGCAGAGGAAGTGCCAGGAGCAGGGCCCTAGACGGAGCTGGTGGGGCCAGGGGCTGCCCGTTGAGGCGGTCCCAGATCCACTGTTGGTAGCTGGAGACCTGAAGGTAGATAGGCGGTGCATCACCATGGTTGCAGCCTGGGCCCCAGCTCACCATTCCCACCAGGTACCACGTGTTCTCCACAGCGCAGGCCAAGGGCTCACCGGACTTCTCCTATGGAGGAAGGGATAGGCAAACAGGATCAGGGAGACCAGGTGTGGCATGACCTAACTCAGGGACAAGCAAGGGACCCTCACACTAGACTTTTCCAAAGTCATTCTTTGAGGATGAGCCTCAAGGCTCAGGCCAGGAGAACTTCCTCAAAGGGTTTTCCTCATCTCTCCTATATGAAGCCTCCAACTCCATCTCTTTAACACTCATCCTCTGTCTCCCATCTCCCTTCCTTATCTCTCACCTCCAGTCTCCATCCTCACCCCCTACCTCTCTCAGCCCCCATCTTCCCATGTCCCCCTTGCTCATCCTCACTCACCATCACTCCCTCCCTCTCCTTGCCCTCCCTACAGCCCTCAGATCCTGCCTCCTCTGCATCCCTCCTCCCATTCCTGGCCAGGTGCCCTTAGAGGTGAGTGAAGGGGGAGAGAGGTGCTCACATAGCAGAAACTGTCCCTCGTGTTATCCTCTGCACAAATCATTTGGGAGTTGATGATCTGGACTATAGTGGGGATTTTGGAGAACCGGTGGTAGTATTGATCACATTCCTTGCTGTTCAGGATGGTGACTTCCTTCTCCTGAATGGACCGGAACTGGGGCCATACACCTATGGGACAGGGGCTCTTGTTTAGACTTAGCCATTTGGCCACTGTCCACTGTCATAGGCCATGTCTCCACCCTCTCTCCTCTCTTCTTGACTCCCCAGCCTCTGTGACTTGCTATATAGTGGCCGGGGAGATCTCTTCAGCCATAGCCCACCACTTGTTCCCAAGGGCCCTGTTTTGGTTACCTCTAGTGCTGTTCTAACAGAAAATACCACAAGTGGGTGGCTTTAGCAAATAGCAGTTTATTCTCTTACAGTTTTAGAGGCTAGAAGTCCGAGTTCAAAGTGCCAAGCTCTAGGGGCTAGGTGAAAGCCCCTTGACCTTGGGCTTCAGCTCTGCCTCTTGCTCCTAGTGCACTGGAGCTGGAGGCTTTCTTCATTCAGGCAGCTGCTGACTGCTGAGGCTGACAAACCCAAGGCCAACAAGTAAAATGGTACAGTCACAATATTACCAAACCACATAGCAGGCCACTGATTCAAGTCCATTAAGGGTCCCAAGATCAGCAGACAACATGGCAGGTTGCTGAACAATGACTCGGCTATATACAGGATCCAAGTGTGCCCAAAAGCTCAATACCTCTCTCAACACTTCTCCTTACATACTGGAAGCTGTCCACATCCCTAAGGCAGCTAGCTACTCAGCTGCTCCAGTAGATTCTACCATGGAGGTGATTGTCAATCTCACCATGGGGAATAAACAACCAGCTGTCCAGCCACTCAAAACGAGGCCCAGCCAAGTTGATAAATAACCTTAACTACCATAGGCCCCTCAATACAGAGACCCTGGAGCAGGCTGCTCCACTGTCTGATCTTGCTGGATCTAATCCTGCTTCCTGCAGAGTCTAACACCCTGAACCCACCGGGCTTCCTCTTAATACCCCCTCCATTCTCACGTAGCATCTTTGCATTTGCCGTCCTCTCTATTCCAAATGCCCGCCAGACCTCTCTCGGGTCCAAATCCTTCTTTTCCTTCAAGCTCTTCCTAAAGGCCACTTCCTCTGAATTTTCCCAGGCCCCCTCCATGGAGCCCAGGCACTGCACATTCCCCTCTCCATCCATGTGTCTCTGTCCCTGGCCTAAACTCTTGGGGGACTGGATACTTCAAACCATTCCTAGCCATTCCCTAGATCAGCCACAGCAGTGAGGACAAAAAGTCACCCCGCCTCCTTCTACCTGGGCTATAGCCCTGTGGGTTGCTTTTGAGTAAGCTGACTCCTTGAGGCCACAAGAAAGGGCATGCACCTCCCTTGAGGCAAAGGAATGGAGGCTCCCTAAAGGGAGTTGTCATCCCTGGGGGCCATGGGCAAAAGGACCCTTGGATGGGCCCAAGAGAACAGCCTGCTCTTTGGGCTTGCTCCTAAATGAGATGATAAATAATTGAGGACCACTGGGGGCAAGGGAAAGCCATGAGTGGGTTCTGAGTGATTTTCATCCTCAGTTGGAGACAGTCCCTAGCCAGCAATGTGGGGTCCTTTGAGGAGCTTTCCATAGACCTCAAACCCTGCTCCCTTCACCCTGGATGTTCTGTTTCAAGTTTCAAGTTGTGTGTGTCCTGGCATCTCAGGGTTATATCTAGACTGGAGGATATTACTCTGTGACCTTCTGCCTTCAGAGAAGTTCTCTTTACATGCCATGGCCTGAGGACATGAGGCCCACTTGGCCATGAGTGGGTCACTGTTGAGACCCTTAAGGAAAAGGAAGACTTGGAAATGAAAGCCCAACAAGGAGACCCAAGGGGCAGTAGGCTCCATGACAAAGAATGTCCATGGTAACACTCCAGTCTACACACCAGACTTCTCCTTCACCACCCCCTAGGAGGCTTCCGACTCACCATTAGTCCTGGGGAGTCCCCAGCCTGTCACAGTGCAAAGGGAATTGTCTTCCACCTCAAAATCCAAGCCAGGCAGGCAGATGGGCCAGACATACTTGCTGTACTTGAGTGTCGACTGGAGTCTGAGGAGGCCGACATCATGGGCCCGGCCAACCCATGACCAGTATCGTCGGGACCGGAACCTTCTGTTCACGATGACCTGGCCCACCGGGACATTGCGTGCATGCTGCCCTGGCTCATCCAATACTGGGCTCCCCACAAGCACAGAATAGGTAACGTTACGCCTAGGGAAACCACAAGGGGAGTCTGCACTCAGCTCCAGGCACCCTGCCCCAGCCTCTAATTCATGCCCTCCAACCCGTTACACTCTGAGCAAATCCCAGCAGATCACCCTCCACCTAAACCACCTCCTCATAACAGATGTGAACAGGGCCCTGCACACACACTGTGTGGTCCACACTTCACAACAACCCTTCATATTATGGAGGAGGAAACCAAGGCTCTGAGAAGCCAGGTGACCTGCTCAAGGCTACACAACCAGGAAGTAGTGACACTGGTATGTAGACTCAGCTTTCTCTGATTCAAACCCTAGACCCTTTCCAGAACTCCATGGTGCCCCTGGAAGGTGATAGAGGCCTTATTAAAACGGCCATGGCCCTGCTCTCCAGCCCCTTTCCCAACATGCCCCTCTGAGTCTCTATGCTGGCCCTTAGGCCTGACATGCCTCTCCACTTGTCAGCCCTTACAGCCAGCACCTATGCTGACCCCAAGCTACTTCCCTGGCACAGAACATTGGCACATCCATTCCTTTATACCCACACCAACTAGATTGTTCTGAGCTTCTGTCTTTTTGTCTGTCTGCCCCACCAACCTGAGAGGAATGCTCCCAGTGCCCAGTCCAGGGCCTAGCTCAAAGGGTTGCCAAAGACTGTTAGTTGAATGAATGAATGAGCAAGAGGGAGCAAAGGCTATGGCATGAAAAAAGTATGGCCTCTTCCTTTGGAGAGCAGGAAGGAGGCTTGGACAAATGGCTTCTAAACCTCCATTTCCTATCTGTGGAATGAGGGTGCACGACTGAGGGGCAGGGCAAGGGAGTATAGGGTGTGTATGCTCAACAGGACCTGAGCTGGCTTGGAGCTGGGTAAGGGTAGGCTGGACTGTGGCACTCCATAGAGTGGCCACAGCTGCTGCTGCTGGGTCAGCTGAGTCCGATAAAACACTTTTCTGTCTGTCCCAACCCCCGCCACCCACCTGGGCCCCAACTCACTGGACTAGGCAGTGGGCCACGACCAGTACCCACTGGGAGGCAATGAGGGTGCCCGCACAGATGTGAGTGCCATTGGCCCGCACGCTGACCATCCATGGCCATCGCCGACTCATGGCCAGTGGGTCCCTGAGGGTGGGGTCCTGCTCAAAGGAGAAGCCGCAGGCTGAGGAGGAAGCAAGAGTTTGGTGAGAGATGGGATCTTCCAGCCACATTCCATGGCATCCCCTATCCCCTCCCTTCAGCCCTGACCTCCCACCTCTCCAGCCACACCCATCCAATCCCCCTTCTTTTTCCCTCTTCCCTAGGGAATGATGCTGCCTATGTGCAGACTGGCATGTCCAGCCTCAGCAGGCTCCCAGCCCTGCCCAGGTATCTTTCTTCCTATTGCCAAACCTCAGCCCCAGAGCATCTTCAACTGACCAGCCCAGTGCACCACTGGTACTTCAATCTTGGCCAAGCACTTCCTCAGCTCCCTCCACAAATTCCTCCATGCTTCTACATGATTCCACCCTCACCTTCCTCTCCTTTCTCAGTGGTCAGGTGCCTCCTACTTCCACCAAGGTAGACCCCTCTCCTTTTTCTAAAAAGCCCTTTCTGTGGTTCAATGAGAGAAAGGTCAATGAGTCAACAAAAAAATGTGCAGGCAAGTTGCAAGGAAGAAACTCCAGTAGCAAAAGAATATAGAAGTCGCTTAGCCCCATCAGTCCTCAGGGAAGTGCAGACTCAAATCACATTGAGGTTCCACCGCATACCACCTGACCAGAAAAAACTAAAAGTCTGTGATATTGCATGTTGGTGAGGATTGTCGCCCCAGAACATTCACCAGAATGCTGTTGGGATGTTGACTGGTACAGCTACCTTGGAAAACAGTTTTAAAATTGAAGATATTCAAACTCAGAATCTCAGCAGTCCCACTCCTAAGTGTTTTCCAAACAGGTTAGAGGGCTGTGAAATCAACATGACCATCTTTTGTGAAGGATACCAAAGGTTGGGGGGGTGGGTATCAGCAGGCACAGCACAGAGTGTAAGCCCTGTTTCTGAAACTTTCTTTTCTTTTTTTCTTTTCTAAACTTTTATTGTAGTGAAAACATACACAAGAAGACATTCACCATAACAACTTCCCTGTTTACAGCTCAGGGACACTGATGACATTTTTCATGTTGTGCCACCATTATGGCTAACCTTTTCCAAAATATTCCACCACCAATAGCATAAACTCAATGCCCCACAAACAAAAACTACCCCTCCCCCCCATACCTGGTAACAACTAATAATCTTTGATTTATATATATATATAATGTCTTTGTTTTTTTCTAAACCTAGCTGGGAATTTTCCCTCCCTTCCTGTCCCTGCTAACCAAAAAAAGAAAGTTTCCTTCCATGTATAAACCTTTCCTTGACTTTTTACAACAGGGGAGTCATACAATATCTGTCTTTCTTTGATTGACTTACTTCATTCAGCATAATGTCCTCCAAGTTCATCTACATTATGTGATGTTTTGCAGATTCTGCATTATTCTTTAGGGTTGCATAGTATTCCATTGTGTGTATATACTAGTTTGGTTATCCATTCCTCTGCTGATAGGCACTTAGATTGTTTCCATTCCTTTGGTATTGTAAATAGTGCTGCAATGATACATAGTTTTTATGTATGGTGTGAGGTATGAATCTTGTTTAATTTTTCTGCAAATGGATTTCCAGTTTTCCCAGGAGCATTTGTGGAAAAGACTATCTCTTCCCCATTTCATGGATTTTGGCCCTTTGTCAAAGATCATCTGACCTTAGGTGGATGGATCTATTTTTGGGTTTTCAATTCTGTTCCACTGGTCTGTGTGTCTGTCATTGTACCAATACCAGGCTGTTTTGACTACTGTGGCTGTATAATAGGTTTTGAGATCAGGGAGTGTGAGACCTCCTACTTTGTTCTTCTTCTTCAGTAGTGCTTTGCTTATCTGAAGTCTCTTTCATTTCCATATAAAATTAGTGATTGGTTTTTCCATGTCTTTAAAGAATGGTGATGAAATCTGGATTGGGATTGCATTGAATGTGTAGATTGCTTTGGGTAGTACTGACATTTTCACAATGTTCAATCTTCCTATCCATGAGCATGGTGCATTCTTCCATTTCTGTAGATCTCTTATAGTTTCTTGAAGCAGTGTTTTTTTTTTATTATTATTATTTTTTATTGTGATTTGGGTGAAAATTTACAGAGCAAATTCACTTTCCATACAGCAGTTCATATACACTTTGTCTCATGACATTGACCACAGTTTACCACAATGCAACAGCTCCCCCCCCACACTTCCTCCTGATAGCTACCTCTTCCCTGTGTCCATCCCTCCATGCACTCCTATCCCCTGAGCTGTCTCCCTGTGCCTGAGCAGCCCTTCTTTCTCTCATGCTTGTTCTCTCCAAGGAGTGTATCTACCTCAGGTAAATGTTCAACTCATATGCCTGTCTATTGTTTGACTGGAAGCCACAGGTGTGCATTCAACTCCAGACCTGAAGAGCAGCTAGGGGCCATGGTCTCAGTGGTTCCACCAGGCTCCATCGGGCCAGCAAACCTGTTCCCTGCTTTTTTTTTTTTTAATGATTTTGAGTTTTGTTACACATTGTTCCTCCTGTCTATCCAGGATCTCCTACAAAGATCCTCTTCTAAGTGGTTGACAGTAGTAGCTGAGCATCATCTATTTCTTCTGATCTCATAGTTGTATAGGCTGCAGATCAGATGGTGTACCAGTCGCTAGGACTAATTGTTTCCATGAATTTTTGGTTTTCTTCATTCTTCTTGGCTTTGGATAAGAAGAGATCCATTGTTGCATCTAGATGGCAGCTTGCAAGCTTTTAAGATCTCAGTCGCTACTCACCAAAGTAGGAGGTGGAACAATGTTTTGTGTAATATGTTATGCCAATTGAGCTTGATGTCCTCTTTGAAGCAGTGTTTTATAGTTTTCTTTGTATAGGTCTTTTGTGTTCCTGGTAAGAGTTATTCCCAAATATCTTGTCTTTTTGGTAGCTATTATAAATGGTATTGATTTCTTTATTGCCTTTTCAGAGACCTCTCTGCTGGTGTGGAGGAATTCCACTGATTTTTGTATATTGATCTTGTATCCTGCCACTATGATAAATCTTGCAATAAGTTTCAGTAGATTTCTTGCTGAATCTCTTGGGTTTTCTATATATAGTATCATATCATCTGCAAGTAGGGATAGGCTTACTTCTTCCTTACTATTCTGGTTACCTAGTGCCACTCTGACAAGAATATACCACAAATGGGATGGCCTTAACAAACAGGAGTTTATTCTTTTACAGGTTGGAGGCTTTAAGTCCAAGTTCAAAGTGCCAGGCTCTAGGGGCTGAGTGAAAGTCCCTCAATCTTGGGGTCCAGCTCTGCCTCCTGCTCCCGGCTCACTGGAGCTAGAGGTGTTTCTTCACTCCGACAGCTGCTGGCTGCTGAGGTTGACAAACCCAATATTGACAAATAAAAAGGCACAGTCTTGATGCTACCAAACCACATGGCAGGCCATTAATTTAAGTCCATTGTGAGTCCCAAGGTCGACAGAGCATAGCAGCCTGCTGAACAATGGCACGGCTACATGCAGGGTCCAAGTGTGCCATAAGCTAGAGACCATTCCCAAAGCTGCTTCTTATATACAGGAAGCAGACCACATACCCAAAGCAGCTACTCAGCTGCTTGTGGTAGATCCCACCATGGAGTTGATTACCAGTCTCATCATGGGGAATAACTACCACCAGCTGCCCAGCTACTCAACCAGGCCCAGCCAAGTTGACATACAAACTGAACTACCACACTTACCTATTTGGATGCCTTTTATTTTTCTTTCTTGCCTTATTGCCCTGGCTAGGACTTTCAATGCTGAATAGAAGTGGTGATAGAGGGCATCCTTGTCTGGTTCCTGTTCACAAAGGGAACGGTTTCAGTCTCTCCCCATTGAGAATAATGTTGGCTGTTGGTTTTGCACATATGCCCTTTATTTTGTTGAGGAATGTTCCTTCTATTCCTATTTTTCTGAGAGTTTTTATCAGGAATGGGTGCTGGATTTTATCAAATGCCTTTTCTGCATTGATTGATATGATCATGTGATTCTTTTCCTTTATTTTACTTATGTGATGGATGATGTTGATTGTCTTTCTAATGTTGAACCATCCTTGCATATGTGAAGGAATCACACTTGATCATGATGTATTATTTTTTGGATATGTTGTTAGAGTCTATTGGCTAGGATTTTATGGAAGATTTTTGCATCTATATTCGTGAGGGATATTAGTCTGTAGTTTTCCTTTCTAATGGTGTCTGCCTGGTTTTGGTATCAGAGTTATGCTTGCTTCATGAAATGAATTTGGGAGGATTCCATCCTTTTCTATGCTCTGGAATAGTTTGAATAGGATTGGTGTCAACTCTTTTCTGAATGATTGGTAGAATTCTCCAGTGAAACCATCTGGACCAGGACTTTTTGTTGGTAATTTTTTTAAATGACCTGTTTAATTTCTTCTTATGCTATGAGTCTGTTCAAATTTTCTACCTCAGTTTGTGTTAGTTTAGGTAAATAAGTGTGTTTTTAGAAATCTGTCCATTTCTTCTAGGTTTTCAAATTTGTTGGAGTACAGTTCTTCATAGTATCCTGATATTATTCTTTTTTAAAAAATTATCATTTGTTGGTTCTGTTGTGACATCATCCATTTCATTTCTTATTCATGTTATTTGTGTCTTCTCCTTCTTTTCCTTTGTTAAGTTTGCCAGTAGTTTGTCAATTTCATTAATCTTTTCAAAGAATCAACTTCTAGGTTTTTTGTTTTGTTTTGTTTTGTTTTTACTGTAGGATCTCACTTATATGAAGTAAGCAAATATACAGAAACCAATAATTATTAGTGGTTACAACAGGTGGGAGGGAGGGGGAAAGGGAGTTTTTGTTTGGAGGCTGTGTTAGACTGGGTTCTATAGAGAAACAAAACCAGTAAAGCTTATATATACATAGAGAGAGAGAGAGAGAGAGAGAGAAATTTATCTTAGGAAAATGGCTCAAACACTAATAGAAGCTGGCAAGTCCGAAGTTCTTGGATCAAACATCAAGCTGGAGGCTTTTCCCAACTCTTGCAGCTGCAGGGGCTGAGGAGCTCAAGGTTGGCAGGCAGTGTCTTGGCTGTTGACGCCAACAAATGATGAATCCAAGATCTCCAGGCCAAATGGTGGATTGTTCACTCATGGACAGTTGTAGGCAGCACAACAGAATCCTGATCCACAGAAGAAGTGTCTCTTCCCAGGATGTCCATAAATATACTGGAAGCAGGCCACACCCCTAGGGAAACTCCCTTTCAACAGATTGGCTGCTCAAAACATATACATCTGATCCCATCATTGGAACAACCCACATCACAATTGCTTAAACCACACAGAATTGTGGTCCAGCCAAGTTGACACACAGCTCCAACTATCACAGAGGCCACTGCGTTTATGTTAATGGTGGTAGAATAGTGTAGGGAAGGATACCTATAAAGGTGGCACAACAGGAAAAATGTAATTGATATCATTGAATCGTAAAGGAGCTTGTGTTGGCACAGGCTTTGATGTGCATATTTTCACCACACACACACACAAAAAAAAAAAAAAAGAGAGAAGAAGTATATATCCAATCCTGCATTTTGGCACAGGCTTTGATGTGCATATTTTCACCACACACACACACACAAAAAAAAAAAAAAAAAAAGAGAGAAGAAGTATATATCCAATCCTGCATTCAACAGTCACATACTGAGCATTTTTTTTTATGCCAATGATTCTGGAAATCTAGAGAAAAAGGATAGATAACACACCATCCCTACTCTATTGGGGCTCCACAGCTAGTAAGGGAGACAGGCCAGCAAAAAGACAATAACAATGCTATGTGGTATTGTTAGTGTTACTGATAGGCATTTACTAGTCCTGTTATTAGGTGCTGTAGAGTTGATTTCCAACTCATACCCACCCCACATGACAGAGCAGAACTGCCCCATCAGGCCTCTGAGGCAGTGATCTTTACGGGAGCAGATCCATTAGATCTTTCTCCTAAGCTATTTCGAGAGTTTTAAAATTATGTGGAATGTTATTTGGATACTTATATCAGACCTTGGGGAAACTCAGACCTGGTAACTAAAGTAAGTAAAATTAATTACTATTATAATAGTTCATTTTACATGGATCTAGTTGTGCTTCAAATCAAATCTCATTCCTACAGATTCAAAACACACAGAGACTAGAGGATTATTCTCATTGGATTAATTTATGAAGTAGCCATTAATGGTCCCATTTTACTTGACATTTATGGGGAGAGGTTGTCTGGAAAGAGATGACAAACCAAAACTGACTTGGGGAGAGGGTGGAGAAAATAAGGATAAAAATATCACTTGTTATAAATATGTGTTATGATGAAACCCTATCAAATATACTTGGAAAAGAAGAATAATTGGGAATTCTAATTAGGGTCCTTTAATTATCAAAATTAATGATTCACTAAAGCAAATTTTTTTTGTTTTTTTTTATAAGTGTCTGTGGCTAATTTAAAATGTGTTTACATTTCCACAAAGAATCAACTTCAAGTCTTGTTGATTTTTTTCTATCGTTTATTTGTTTCATTTATTTCTGCTCGAATCTTTATTATTTCTTTTCTTCTGTGACTGTACACTATTTTTGCTCCTCTTTTTCTGATTGTTGGAGATGTTCAATTTAGGTGTTGATTTTGGCTCTTTCTTCTTTTTTGATGTTTGCATCTATTGCTATAAATTACCCTCTGACCAGTGCTTTTGCTGTGTCCCAAAGATTTTGGTATGTTGTGTTTCCGTTCTCATTTGATTCAAGAAATTTTTTAATTTCATTTTTTCTATTACCCAGTCATTTTCAAGGAGGCTGTTATTCCATTTCCATGCCTTTGCTCTTTTCCCATTGGTCTTCCTAGTGTTGATTTCTAATTTTACAGCATTGTGATCTGAGAAGATGTTTTGCAATATTTCAATGTTTTAAAATTTATTGAGCCTTGCTTTGTGGCCTGACATATTGTCTATTCTGGAGAATGTTCCATGAGCCCTAAAAAAGAATGTATATTGTGCTGTTGTTGGGTGAAGTGCTCTGTAGATGTCTATAAGGTCAAGTTGGTTGATTGTCTCTGTTTGTGAGACTATCTGTGGTGGTAAATTATGTGCACTCAAATACACGCCAAAAGGTCGATGGTTCAAACCCATCCAGAGGTGCCTCGGAAGACAGGCCTGGTGATTTGCTTCTGAAAGTTAACAGCCTTGAAATCCCTGTTGAGCAGTTCTACTCTACTTGGGGTGGCCATGAGTCAGAATCCACTAAAAAAAAAAAAAAAGAAGATTCACTGCTATCAAGTTGGTTCTGACTCATAGCAACTCCTCCTTGGGTTTCTGAGGCAGTATCTCTACAGAAGTAGATTGCTCGATCTTCCTTCTAAGGAGTGGCTGGTGGGTTGGAACCACCAGTCTTCTGGTTAGCAGTCAAATCCTCCACTAGAAGGCACATGTAATAAATCGTGTGTCCTGAGTCCCAGGATAAGATGTATTTCTTTCTGCAGGTCTTAGTTAAACAAGTTTGAAAGCCACTGCTCAAGTTCAGGAGACTCCCACAGGAAGGCTCACATAACACAGCTCTGAGAAAGATGCTGGGGACCACCAATGTCCTTCTGGGAGCTGGATTAGCAGCTTAGGCAGGGCCTGGGTTGGCCAGGGTTTAGCCTCACAAAGGAGGCTGTGCTCAGCCAGCTCAGGAGGTGGCAACACTCAGCCACTTGGGTCCTTCCACATCACTTTGAGCTCCAATTTCCCTTGCCTCCTACCTCACCCAATGAGAGGACCCCAGGTCTGTCTTTTAAAGCAGAAACAGGGACTGGCCCACAATACGTGCTCCATAAACCCTTGGAGAAGAAAGTTTCTTCTATCTTCTTCATCTCCACCCCTTCCTCCCTGGCCAGCTTCTGTCCCAGGGATCAAATGTTCTTAAGGCTCCAGTGCTCACCCCCCTCCCCCAGTCCACTGTACTCACAGGGAAGTAAGTCTGATGTGTGGTTACTATGAGGGGGCGGCTGTCTGGTTGAGGCCGCCATCTGACTGGCTGTGACTGGAACCTGGGTTGTGCCCGGAGACTGGGTGGTCAAGTCCTGTCGAGGAAGACGAAGTCTGGGGTTGCCGGGGACATCGGCCAGAGCCACCGTGGACAGTGCCTCCCAGGTTTCACTTGCACCCAAGCAACCTGTGGAAGGAGGTAGAGCGATTGAGTCAGACACGGACAGGTTGAGGGCCTGAGGGGAAGGGGCAGGGGGCTGGACTCACCTGCGAGCCTCAGCAGCAGCAGCAGCAGGAAAAGAGCACGAACAAAGGAGGAGATAGATGGCCAGAGGCACTGGGAACCCTGCCCGCGGGCCCATGTCCAGCCCCAGGGCTCCATCCGGGGTTAGCAGTGACTGCGCCGCAGTGTTCCCTCGAGACGGCGCTCTTGGTGCCTGGCCTCCCAACGGCGCCCCCTAGTGGTCGCCAGCGACTGAGCGCCTGGTGTCCAGTCTGCGAGTTCGCCCCCTAGTGGCTTCCCCTGGAAGCCCTCTTGTTGTCGAACCGCGCCTCCCTTACACCTCCCAGACTGACATCTGTCTGGCCTTCACGGCACACTGCTGGCTGCCCTGTTTTCGGCCATAGGTCTGCCTTCCTTGGCCCTATCTTCTTCATTCCTCTTGGTCAAGCATTTCCCTGGAGTCGCTAAACCAAACCTCAGCCAGTTTTATACTCCCTCCATCACCAGCAGCCCACTGCCCTGGCTGGGTTGGTGCTGCCGCCCCTCCTGTGGCATCCAGGATCTAGAAGTGGCCCCACCATCCCTCTAGCCTGGTAACTACAGCAGGGTTTGACCCAGGGCACTGAAAGTAAGCAGATGAAAATATTTTAAATAATGATTTTTAAAAATTGCATAATTTTAATCAACTCACCATCCCCACCCCTTCACAGATCCACCTGCTTAGGAAAGATGGCACAAGGTGAAGTTTCCATCCACAGAGAAATCATGAAGTTAACCATTGTGTGGATCTGGGAGCAGGAGCTCACTTAAAGGTTGGAATTTTGGGGACATTTGAATGGTTCAGTGACACAGCTGGCTAATACATTTTTTAAGTAGTGTGGGGAATTCCTGCAAGAACCTTTGGTCCAAAGATGTTGGGAAATTCCAGCCTAACAAAAGATGAAAATTGAATCATCCTAGGACACTGTAACTTTTGCAAAGGCATGGTCTTGGCAGGGAAGAAGCACTTGGGTTGGGTTGCAGTGGTTAAGCATTAAGCTGCTAACCAGAAAGTTGGCAGTTCAAACCCATCAGCCACTCTACAGAAGAAAGATGTGGCAGTCTGCTTCCATGAAGATCACAGCCTTGGAAGCCCTTAGGGGTGGTCCTACTCTGTCCTATAGGGTCACTATGAGTCCTAATCACCTGTACAGCATCTTGGGATGAGGGAAGCAGTCCTTGGGTGGTGCAAACCATTAAGGGCTCAACTATCAACCAAAAGGCTGGCAGTGTGAACCCACCCAGAGGCACCTTGGAAGACCTGGCAATCTGCTTCCAAAAGGTCACTGCCTTAAAAATCCCATGGATCAGAGTTCTATTCTGCACTATCTGGGATTGACAGCAACTAGTTTGGTTTGGGGAACTCTGGTGCCTCAGTAGTTAAGGCATTTACTGACTACCCAAAAGGTCATTTGTGCAGACGTACCAGTTGCTCTGTGGGAGAAAGTCATCTTCCATAAAGTCTGCTTCCATAAAGATTTACAGCCTTGGAAACTCTATGGGGCAGTTCTACTCTATCCTATAGTATTGCTATGAACTGGAATTGACTCGATGGCTATGGGTTTGGCTTTTTTTGGTTGGTTTGGTTTTTGATGATCTTGGGAAATTGGGCCATACAGTGCCCCAATCTCTGAGAAGGCAGTGAATTGCACCCATGGTTTTTCTAGCACCTTAGGGGTATGGGTGGCTAGTAGCTCAAAACCTGAAGTGGACAGGTGTGCGCAGCTGCCACAGTACATGCATGCAGGAGGCAGGGCCAGCTTATCCTCTCTCTCTGGCATCTGACCTGGTGGTCACCAAGCCAGCTCTGGAACTCAGGGTAAGGTCATCACACACAATTCATCCAAGCAGGCCCTGCCCCCCATATCGCCCACCCTTGTCAGGATGTGGGACTGGGAAAGGAGTGAAGAACTGGTCATGTTCTGAAGACCTTGCAGAGGGGTATGAGGGGTTGGGAGATGGCCAGGGGCTCTGATCCAGAGCACAGTCCATAGGGCAGGTCTGTGATTTGACCTTCACCTTGGGATAAGGCCAACCCTCGCAGGAGGGCCTGAGGAAAAGTGTGTGTCAGAAACCCATGGGAGGGCCAGGGGAACCTTGGGGATTGCTGGCATGCTTGGATGACTACATAGACACAGGGGGCTACAGAGTCCTACCTCCTCTTTACAGAAGAAAAATTGTCACCCAAGAGAAGAATGATCTCCCAAGGTCACACAATAAGTACCAGTCAGACACAGGGTTGTAATTCAGGTGTCCCTATCCGGGAAGGCTCATTTTGAGAGGACTGGCAGGCTTCAAGCTGGTGAGGGGTTGGAAGGGGGTTGTATTTGAGAGACTCTATGGGTTCAGCCAAAGTTGACAAGAAAGATGACTTCAGTAGCTTGGAGTTCAAGAGCATCTTCATTGAACAACAGGGAAAACAGTGACTCTGGGATCCTCCCCCAAGGACACCGACCCTGATCTCCAGTGCCCATCCTGTCTCCATTTCACCTGAAGACTGAACAGAGGGGAGGGAACAGCAGCCTCCATGAGTGACCACTCAGGAACCACTGCTCAAAGGAGCCACAGGGACCCCAAAGAGACCAGCAGAATGTAGCCAGTATGGAAGACTGGGCTCAGGAAGGCAGGGCCAGCCCGACTGAAGAAATTCACATCAGAGACCTGACTCTTGATCCAGAGAGTGAAGTGAGAGGTGCTGGTATAGATGCTCGGGAACCGGGACTGGCCACAGCTGAAGCCCCAGCTCACCAATCCCGCCTGGATCCAGGTCTTGTTCACTTGGCAGACGAGGGGGCTGCCAGAGTTAGCCTGCAGAGGGAAGGAAGGAAGGCATAAGAGAGGCAACAGGAAGGCCTTCCTGCAGACCCTAGATGACCTGGCACTTTCTCAGGCCACATCCTCCGTGTGCACTATATTAGGCCTTGCAGCCCCTGAGGATAAATGTGGCTATGAATCTGCTCTGTGGTGAGTAAACCCTTCTCCAAGCCCCAAGCTGATAATCACGCTGGTCTCTCTCTTCACCTAACTCTGGTGTCCTTCTCTGCCCTCCCTCTTAATCCTTATGTGCCTCCAAGGTGTTTTTGTTGGCCTTCTTCTATCCTGCAATTTTGCTTGCAGAGTGAGTATCTAAAATGCAAACCAGCCCCACTCCTTCTCTTTGTGCAAAAAAATATGTGCATGTATGAGAAGAATGTCTATAAGGACATATATCAAAAAGTAGCACTATTTATAATAACTAAAGGGTGCAAACAACGTAAAGATCCATCAACAGATGAATGAATAAAAAAATGTGGAAGATACACACAATGGAATATTACTTAGCAATAAAGGGAGCTCTGGTAGCGTAGTGGCTACCACTACTTGACTGCTAACCAGGCTGGCGGTTCAAACCCACCAGCCACTCCTCGGAAGGAAGGTTGGGCAATCCTACTTCCGTAGTGATACTGCCTCGGAAACCCAAGGAGGGGTTGCTATGAGTCGGGGGCGACTCGACAGCACATAACAACAACAACAACAAAGAGAAATGAAGTCCTGATGTGTGCCATGACATGGATGAACCTAGAAAACATCATGCTGAGCAAAATAAGTCAGTTGCAAAAGGATGAATATGGTATGATCTCACCTATATGTATGATCCTGCTTATATAGAGAAACCAAAGATTATTAGTGGTTACCAGGGGTGGGGAGAAGGGGAGAAGGGAGAGATTTTGCTTAGGGGCATTTAGTTTATGTTAATGGTGGAGGAATGATTTGGAAAAGGCTAGTGAGAATGGTTGTACAACTTGAAGAATGTAATGAATGTGACTGAATTAGACAAGTAGAAATTGTTGAGATGGGGTTTATTTTATGTATATTTTCACTGCAATAATAAAAAAAAATAATGCAAGGTAATAGCTGTTATTTCCGGTGACAGTGGTTTTTTAATTTTTTTTTTCCAATTTTATTTACACTCTTCTCTATTGTTGGAAAGTTTTATAAATCAGAAAAAGTTCATTATGCTTATTTTTTAAAATGTAATACAAACCAAGATTTATAGAGCATAATCTAGTGAAGAGTATGTATGTAAGACCTTTAAGGAAAAAATAATAAAACTTTACCTAAGGACATAAAAGATGATCTATGTTAACATACAGATAGAGCATTGTTCATGGTTAAAACAGCTTAAAACAATGTAAACATGTCCATCCTCAGCGTTTGGCTTCCCACAGTATACAGGGCTAGATATCCTAGCCAACCTTTTTGCTGAAGAGAACTAAAAATAATGAATTAAAAAATATAATATTGTAAATGCATAAGTGAGCTGGCAAAAATATCAAAAATCCTCAGAGTCTAAAACTTAAGTGTTCATGTGGGCAGGAGACAAAAGGCAAAGCCTAGGTCCTTCTCAAGGAGAGGAGCCTAATAGGAGACCTCTTGCTAAAAAGCCACCCTTTCAAAAAATGGCCACACCCTCAGAGTGAGGATAACCTAGAAACACCCATCCTCCTGTGTGTTTGTTTACAACTTGAATTTACACCATAGAGGTGGTTGAGAAAGCCTAAGCCAAGAATGTCATTAAAGGTGGTCCTGGTTTGATTGGTGTTATGATTATGGATTGAATTGTGTTCCCCAGGAAAGATAGGTTGAATTCCTAACTCCATGGTACCTGTGAATGTGTCCTTGGTTGGAAATAGAGTGTTTGAAGATGCTATCAATTAATATGAAATCATACTGGAGTAGAGTGGATCCTAATCTAATCTGAGTGGTGTCCTTATATAAGAGGAGAAGAAGAAGACAGAAGCAGAGATCAGAGTGATGCATCTACCAGTCAAGGAAAGCCAAGGTTTGCCAGGAGCCACTACAACCTAGGAAGGGATAAGGAAGGATCTTCCCACAGAGCCCTTGGAGAGGGCATGACCCTGCCAACACCTTGATTTTAGACTTCTAGTCTTCAGAATTGTGAGAAAAATAAATCCCTGTTATTATAAGCCACTCAATCTGTGGTACTTTATTATAGCAGTCCCAGGAAACCAATACAAGGACATCTGGTGGCACAGTGCCTAAGGCATTTGACTGCTAATCAGAAGGTTGGCAGTTCAACCGCACCAGCCCCTCCATGGAAGGAAGATGGGGCAATCTATTTCCATAAAGATTTACCATATTAGGAAATACAGTAGCGTAGTGCCTAAGGCACTTGACTGATAACCAGAAGGCTGGTGGTTCAAACCCACCAGCCGCTCCTCAAAAGGAAGAGGGGCAATCTACTTCCATAGTGATACTGCCTCAGAAACCCAAGGAGGGGTCGCTATGAGTCAGGTCCGACTCGACAGCACATAACAACAACAACAAAGATTTACTGTATTAGAAAACTAATACAGTCATACTCCCAGTTACTTGGCAAAATCAAACATAGATTCTCCCTAGAGGAATCCACCTTTAAACTATGACTCAGAGAATTTCCACAGATAACACTCTAAAGAATATGTCCTCACCCTTAAAAAAGCCACAAAGGAGTTGAGGCACCACGAGCTAACACAAGGCAGCAGAAGAAACTTAAGAGTGGAATCAGAGCCATCACAACATGAGCAACAGGAAACAGTACATGGAAGCTTCAGAGTTTCTGGTAATGTACTATTGCTTATGCTCAATGGTGGATGCATGGTGGTTGGTTGTGTTATTCTTTATTCTCCATACATATTTTATAAACATTCTTTTCTCTCTTTTCAATAGATGGTAAACCAAAACCAAACCCAATTGAACTCACTGCCATCAAGTCAGATCCGACTCATAGCGATCACTCCTTGGGTTTCCGAGGTGGTATCACTACGGAAGTAGATTACCCAGCCTTCCTTCTGAGCAGTGGCTGGTGAGTTTGAACCACCAGCCTTCTGGTCAGCAGTCAAGTGCCTGAGGTACTAGGCTACCAGAGCTCCTGGAGCCTGTACATAGCAGCACTATATTTCTTCCAAAGATACAGACATCGATAAAGATATATATTAAATAGATTTAAGTAAGTGCTTTTTTGTGGGGAGAGGAAATGAAGGATGAAGGGGAAAATCAAGCCAGTGAAGACAATATCAGGCCACTACCTGAAATAAATGACTGGCTAGATTCTGGGGGCCCAGGGAAAGATAACAGAAGAGAGAGAGAGACATTCATCAAATCAATTTTGAAATGTAGACTTTTAATAGGGTGCTGTTGATAGTTGTCATTGAGTTGATTCTGGATATTCTCTAACTACTGTGAGATAAAATCAGAAACAAATAACAAAGGTGAACCACAGCCTGGTTACAATAGAATTAAAATCTGCAGTTAGAGAATAGAAAGATAAGAAGACCACCCCATGTTGTAAAGGGATGTGGGCCTGAAGTATACTCGGAAAAGTCCTAGTCTAAGATATTTTTAATATCAACATGAAAGAGTGGAAATAAATTTATTATCATAATCAGTTATCATTGTACATTCAGCTCAACACACTTGAAAAAAGTTAATGAAAGGAAAATGAGCATATTCATGCATTAGAAGGCAGAAAAATCATAGACTTAAGATAAGAAATCAATAGCTTGTTCTTAAAAAAAAAAAAAAAAAGACATTCACCTTGTAAGTTTAACTAAAAATAATAAAGAGAAGGAAAATAAAAACACCTCATGATGTGAGTGGGAAGTAGACTATAACCACATTGTCTGGTTACCTAGTGACACTCTGACAGGAACATACCACAAATGGGATGGCTCTAACAAACAAAAGTTTACTCTCTTACAGTTTGGAGGCTTTAAGTCCGAGTTCAAAGTGCCAGGCTCTAGGGGTTGGGTGAAAGCCCCTCAACCTCGGGCTTCAGCTCTGCCTCCTGCTCCCGGCCCACTGAAGCTGGAGGCTTTTCTTCACTCAAACAGCTGCTGGCTGCTGAGGCTACAAAGCCAAGGTTGACGAGCAAAAAGGCACAGTCCCAGTGCTACCAAACAACACAGCAGGCCACCAATTCAAGCCCAGAAGAAGTCCCAAGATCGGCAGGGAATGGCAGGCCGCTGAACAATGACTTGGCTACATGCAGGGTTCAAGAGTGCCAAAAAGCTGGAGATGATCCTCAAAGCTGCTGCTTATATACTGGAAGCAGACCACATCTCTAAAGCAGCTACTCAGCTGCTCCAGTAGATTCCACCATAGAACTGATTGACAATCTCACCATGGGAAATAACTACATCCAGCTGCCCAGCCCCTCAACCAGGCCCAGCCAAGTTGACAACAACCTTAACTACCACACACATCAAGGGAAAATATACTTTCGCAGAATCTGAAGACTGCCTACAACTTCCTGTTTATGAATTTAACTTCTGGAGGAAATGAATAATTTCTAAGAAACTATTATTTTATTTAAACTAAGTTAAAGAGTGATAGAAAGCCTAACACATCCAATAATTATGGGACCAAAACCTTAAAATATTCCCCCAGAAGAAGCCCTCATGGGAAAACAGGCCTACATGGTTTTATAGACATCTTCTATCCAGCCATCAAGGAGCAGATAATTTATGTTATTTCAAATGTTCCAGAAGCTGGACTAACATTTTTTAAGTGAAGCATAATCCTGACAGATATGACAAAGAAGTGCCTTCCTCCACACATCTTAAAATGGAGGCCAGCTTCAATGTCTGTGTGGGGAGGGAGGCTATGTGGCTGTATGGACTGTGCCACCTAGAACTGTCCGTTCCCCAAGGCCAGTACCTTCCCTGGGTAATGTTATTCCGGGCCTGGCCCAGTATCCAGCACACAGTGTATATTGGATGAATAAATGAATGAATAAACATGTTCTAAAAAAAGATATTATAAATCTG